ATTACACCTTTTTGGCAGCTTCCTTCTGAAAAGGACATTGCATAGTGTAAGTGCTACATTCATACTGGTTGTACAACATTTTTAAAATGCTGTTTTCTTCACTAACAGAGGTAAAGTCAAAGCCTCACCTGACTCATCAACATCAGCATCCTCATCCCATTCCTGATAGGCCCGACCCTCATTCTGACGACTCTTCACCCACTCGTCATCTGGCTCCTGGTCAAACTCCCCAGGTGGGCCGCTGTAATAATCACCTATATTTGAGACAAACATTTATCATCACCACATACAGTGAAGTCAATTACCAAACAAATGTGATTCTAAATTGCCGGGAAAATGAAGATGAGTAACAAATATATTGGTCCTTGGGGTAATCAGCAGCTTTCAGCAGCCTACCTCTGGCCCAGCGCACAGGGTACAGGTGCCTCCACAGAGAGCCGGTCTTGGCCAGCCCTGACCAGGAGCTGCACACCTGACTACAGCGACACAGATCTTCAGGGCCCAAATAGTGGAACAGCCTCAGCATAATTTCTGTGGGGAGCTGGGAGATGTGGGCTGAAGAATCCTTTTTCTTTTCCAGTTCTGAGGAAGAGGACAATTTATCCTTTCATGAAGCTAATGACATAAATTGTTAAACATTGTACTACTCACACAGGATTTTTTTTTAAGGGAGACATTTGAACGATGGCAAAGCACAAGTGTAAATAATAAAAATGAATTGACTGAATTCCATTTAGCTGGCTCAGTCTGAGGCTCTTAGTGTGGTGCATTCTGCTGCCTCACTGTCATGGCGCACTGCAACACTTGAATGGAACAAATGATGGTTAACATTATTAGTAACACCTGTGCTTTTATGACAAGTCAGAAATGTCAGAAAAGCTAATGATCAGGATATTACAAATGACCTGAACCCAAAATGATATCTTCACATTTTGACTAACCTCCAGTCAAATACCTCAGAGATATTAAGAAGAAAGTGAACAGATCTTGACATTTTAGAAGCTGGGACCAGCACTTTTGGTTCCTTGCCGAACTACTGATTAAATATCAAAACTGTCATTAATTGTTAATGCCACAATATTGTTTGTATTACTCTTCTATGAACCGACATTTGAAAAAGGGTACAGTGATGTGGCTTTCTTCTTCTCTGCCTTCTATACACAGACAAACCGGGAGGCTGAGTCATTCATTTACCGGATGAAACCAGTTCAAGGAATGCTCAAACTCAACTCGACTCGACTCAGCAATGGTAATAAACACTGGTGATACTGACAACTTAAGATAGTGCTGCTATGCAAAAACCTCAAATCAGGTATTAGGAAATATTTAAGATCACGATCCTGATGGTCACGTTTGTGAATATACCCACTCACCATAATCTGTCTTCTCGTGATCAGCGTATTTAAAGGCCTTTTGCAGCTCTTCAGCCTGGCTCCACAAAGTGAAGCCCTTCAGCACCTCGGCGGCACAGTCCCATTGCTGTTGGCTGCAGTGTTGTGCTATCACCTGTTTCTTGATGTCCTTGAGCTCCTCATAGGTGAAGTACTCCATAAGCATAGGCTGAAACACCTGCAAACAATCTCCTTAGTTTACAAACAGCTTGAAACAGTGCAGTTCACTGGGGTTTGCACAAAAACATTTTAAAATAAGTTTCCTCACATTTAATGTCCGTTTTATTTATGTTGTTTATGAACACAATTTAGTCTTACCCATTCTTTGGCAAATCTGTTCACTAAAATATAAAATATAGAAATTTGAACATCTTGTACCTCTTCTTCTTCCTTCATGTGGGGCAGAAAGTCCTGTGTGAAAGCTTCTAGCCTCTCCTTCAGCTGCTGGGCATAGTTAAGCTGCTCATATTCACTCTAAAAACACACAACAATTATTAATACATGGAATCTCTTAAAGAACATGGCCGTTGAGACTTCTTTAAAATCCCATCTACAACATCTAGTAGTTCTTGTAGTTTTTTTCATAATTAATAATTAAGTTACATGATCACCCATGTTTTGCAGTAGCTGGATTATGAGATGTGGAAATGATGTTGTATAACCTTGGCAGAGCTAATATTCCAAACTGTGTCTTTAACAAATGTAGAAAAATTCAACATAAATTATTTTTAAAAATCTCAACACAGTATTAATTATGTCAGGAGAAACATCTTTTCCTGTAGACAGAGAGCAGGACCTCAATCCAAAGCTAAAAAATGTTCCTTTCTGCTATGCAAACTGACTGAGGCAGAACGGAAGTTAAGATTTACACAATTGCATCATTCTGGACAGCCCATTTTTAGGTTTGCCCATGGCTTGAGAGAGAACAATAACGCTTGTCTCCTGTTAAGCAGATCACAAAAACAACCCTCCCTCTATTACACAGTCCAGCTTACTTCTTTCTGCATTTGGCCATTTTCTTAATAAGTTAAATCTCAAGTTGTAACCACAAACAATTGTGACAAACACTTGGTTTATGTAATTGGATGCTACAATTTGTCTGATAGCTCTGGTGTAAATTACTGTACATTTAAAAAGAGATAGAATATAATTTCCTGTCTTTATAATTAACACATGTACATGAAAAATAGCCATTCTGTTACTGCCATGTTTGTGTAGCTAACATAATAGTTATTTTAATGACAGTGTGTTACCCCACCATTGAGTAACAAGTATCAGCTGAAGTCATATGATTTCCCCTTAAGTAAAGCCTAGTACTTTATCTGTTGAGTCATTTATGTAAAAGGTGCAACAAGTGCGATAAAGGCCCATGACAATAATTATACTTTTAAACATGGTTGCACGATTACCTTAACACTGTGCAGCCCTTTTTCAAAGAGGGACAACATCTCTGAGAGTTTGTTGTCGGAGTGCACATCGTACACAGTGCAGCAGCGCTGTTGCAACAGGCCAATGATGTACTCATTCTCAATCTGTTCATGTATCTTGAACTCCTTAAAGGTGGCGCACAGTGACTGAAGGAACGAGCGGAAATCATTGTTGTTGGAGAAGTTGGTTTTTGAGAGCTGTGGGAAAACAAACAAAAACTGTCAGACGTTTATTATTAAACACCATGTGTGTTTATATGAAGATTCGTGAGATAAACATGATCATTTATACTTTCTGCTGGTCGCGTTTCATCACAATGGATGATTGTTCGTACATAAACGCAAAAACAGCAGCTGAAGTAACGTTATGGCACAGAAAGTAAACTAACATTACAGCAATAGGCTATATTACGTTACCACACCCGCTGAGTATTAGCTGGTGGAGCTAGATGGGCTTATCTGACACGTTAGGTCCATCCAGGAGATTTTAACAGACTCGTTATAGCTGTAAACCCGTTTGTGGGAACATTAGAAACTGCAGTGTGATACTTAAACCATGTTGCATAACAAGCTATGCTGCAAGTTAGTTAAGGAGGCTAAAACTGTTAGCAAGCTTTAGCTGGGTAGAAGATGGGTTGTTTATACTTAATAACAACATAATAACACAATGGATGCCTCAAAGTACTGGCTAAGTAAACGCCTCCATGTAAAGCTAATTTCACGTTCATAAATCTAACCACGGAGCTACCAAACGGCCACAATGTAGTCGTGAGACAATCATCCGATAGTTGCATCTGCTTCGGCTGACTCAATCCGAAGTGCTACAGACACAAGCTAGCTAGCATGCTAGCTGGCGTTGACTCGTCCGTTGGCCACACACCGTTACACATTCCTTTGTAAATCTCAAAATTAACCTCCGACATTTATTTGTACACACCTTATCACAGTATAAGCCCACCAGCTGCTTCATTCGCCAGTGTGGGCCAGTGAAAACATCCACCTCGTCCGGAAAGGGAGCCATCTTCACACTGAACCACAGTGCGTCATCTGCACAGTCTGCGATACAATCAAACAAGGAGGCGTGTACGAGCCACTCACGTGACCACAAGTTATAAATATGGGCCAAATTATCCAAGGCACAACAGCACAAAACTGGTCTGGGGTCAGTGTTTGAATAAAAGGTTATAGAAATTTCACTGTAACTGGAGTGGATATACGCCCCAGATCAGTAAACCTGTTTTGAAGCGTTTTATAAAACAAGTTTGACACACCCCAGTTTACATACTGCCAGATTTTCTATAGTTACTTAAGTTACACAAATCTTGGTATTTTAACTGTTTAATAGGTAAGAAGCATGTATTGCTGATAGGGCAGTTCTGTATCTGTAGCTACAGGCCAATCTGTAGTACTGCACACATGACGTGAATCATGTTTTTCTCATATTCAACAAGTTTGTCATTTACTATACATACAGTATACCAATGTTATGCTTATTGCCTTTTCAGGGTGTATTTCATATTTTGCACAACTGTATTTATGGTCTTTCTCTCTTTCAGAATAGTCATTGTCTCTTACTTTTATTGCATACTTTTTTTTTTATTAAACTTTCAATAGATCTAACTTCTAATTTAAATTTCTACTAAACATGTTTCGTGCATTAAATCAATTCTGTTCTTACCCTATTGTTTTTTATTCTCTATACTAAAATACAGTAAAATACAATTGTGTATAACTTGCTGTTAAAATAGGTGGTTTTGTGAATTAAATTTCAAGAGAAGTTTAACACTAAATATTGTTTTCAAAAGATCTTCTTTGCCTATTATTAGCTATTAGTCTGATATTTATTTAAGTAAAGTGAAACACTATGTTTTTTTAAATTAATAGCAAAATGTCGCCAGAAGAAAGTACAAACATCTACCTAAATTACGAATAAAATGTAGTTCAGGAGGCCAAAACCACAGTCGCCACACTTCCACGGTCGGCTTGTGGTTGCTATGGAACGACAAACGTCCACAGCAACAGCCCCATTGGGGGTGGAGACTTGGTCCTTCATTCACCGTGGAGGAAGATGACTGACAGCGGTATGAACCAATCCGCGATCGAGGTATATGAAGCTAGCCAATGGAAACACAGCAAAGAGAGCTGTAGTTAGATAGAGAGCGCGAGGGGCAGTAGCAGGTCTCAGAACCTCTGAGACGGCGGCGAAAAAAGACTAATGGTAAGCTAGGTACTAGCCACCTAATTGTATTTACACACCGCTACCAAGTGAGCCACGTAATCATATTATCCTGTGTTTCGTGAATATATTTTATTATATTTTAGGTGGTCTTCCATCTTCCGTCTGGCTGCTATGTAACGATAACGTTAGCGAGCTTGCTACCAGTTGTATTATGTTGTATCAACAGCACAGCCCGTCTGAGACAACACATCCTTGTCTGTCTGACAGCACAGCTTGATGGAGCTAGCATCGCTGTAAATTTATAGCATGACACACAATCATGGTTACTGTGGTTAACAATACGGGATGAAATAATTATTGCCTTTGACAAAATTACCGACATTAAACCCGCAGTTTAATGAAAAAGCCTAATGCATCATGTTCCTTGATTTCTCTGCAGACCCAGCATGAGGAGCCAGTCATTCCAGTAACATGGACAAGTACGAAAAGGTGAAGAAAATTGGGGAAGGTTCATTTGGAAAGGCCATCCTTGTGAAATCAAAAGAGGATGGACACCAATTTGTCATCAAGGAGATTGGCATATCTGGAGTAAGTCCCTATGTGTAAAATACCATAAACTTCACATGTCATAAGTAAGGTGAGCTCTCGTCTACCACCTCGTTCTTTTACATGCTCTTTCCCCTTTTTGCTTTTACAGATGCCAAGTAGAGAGAGGCAGGAATCTCGAAAAGAAGTTGCTGTTCTTGCCAAAATGAGTCATCCCAACATTGTCCAGTATAAGGAGTCTTTTGAAGGTGTTCACATAATCTAAAGATTTTAGAAATGCTCAGAAACAACCACAGAGATAACGCACTATTTTTTTTTTAACTTATTATTTATTCCACACAGTTGAAATACATGAAGATGTACCTAAAATCATATTATCATATTCATCTCAGTTACAGCCCATTCAAATAATCCATATACACACAATAACACCTGTATAAGTCTTGACATTTTACATACATATAAAGACTATTTGTTCAATGCTCCAACTTCTTCCTGTGTAGTCTAATACATATAAGTGCGCTCTACAACTCAGAAACAGTTTTTGCTACTGAGAATAAATATGCATATACAAAGAAAAATAATAAAAGTAAATTGATAAATAAATAAAAATAATTTCAAAAGAGATAAATGATTAAAATAAATAAAGAAAATAAATTAAAATGAACAGAGGTGCTTAGATTCCTGATATCCTTTGTATTATTGAATCCCATATAACGCACTATTATATCCTGATGCACGCAATATAATGTGTATTTAACACATTGCCTTGTAAACTTCTTTTCAGAGGGCGGATGTCTGTATATTGTGATGGACTACTGTGAGGGCGGAGACCTCTTCAAGAAGATCAACTCTCAGAAAGGAGTACTGTTCTCAGAAGAGCAAGTAAGCCACTAAGTCTTTGAGACAGTCATGCTCAAGATATACTTGTTGATAGACTGGAACAGTGTTCAACATGTAGATGACATCAATATTGCATATGTACTGGTGCTATTTCATATCTCTGCTTGGTGTTGTTCAGTCATTAGACTTACAAAGGACGTAGATAGTGAAAGCTGGTACTGTATGTTGGTTCACCACTTTCTCCCTTGCCTAGATCCTGGATTGGTTTGTGCAGATTTGCTTGGCACTGAAGCATGTTCATGATCGAAAAATCCTCCACAGGGACATCAAATCTCAGGTATTGCTTCATGCACCACGTGATCTTTTCTCTGTGATTGCGAGTTGTTCATTTGTCATTTATTGTACAAATATGTTTTTACACATTGTCTGCACAGAACATATTTTTGACAAAAGACGGGACTGTGCAACTTGGGGACTTTGGAATTGCAAGGGTGCTGAATAGGTATGTATGACGTCGTCTGAATAGATCTGCAAGACTTGGGAATAGTGAAGCATAATACAATTAGCTTTCCATTCTCTTCTCATTTTCAGCACTGTAGAACTGGCAAGAACATGCATAGGAACACCCTATTACCTATCACCAGAGATCTGTGAAAATAAACCCTACAACAACAAAAGGTAATAACTTGATGTTGTGTTTGACTCACTCGTGGTGTAAATTAATATTTGATCATATTCCAGGGGACAAGCACTTCCCCTCCCCCCCATCAAATAGTGAGTCATGCAGGATTAGCTGGTGGCTTCTGGGTATCATGTCTCCTCTTTACTGAGAGAACCTGCTTGCGTATATCTACAACAGGATGCTAGCATTGATTTCCTTTTGAAATATTTTACACATGCATGTAATCTAATCCACTTTAGTGACAACCAATGAAGTAAATTAAGAAATCTCTGTGTTCAGTCTGGAGTTTTCTCAGTGTTGAATTCCTCCTGTTTGTGATAAAGGAGGGAAAAGTATTTGCAAATGACTGTTGATACATAATTGAATGAATGTAAACCTACCCCAGAACTTATCCCTGCCTATCCATGTGTGTGCTCTCTCTCCTCTCACTTTCCCTACTTTCCCTCCCTCTGCAGTGATATTTGGGCCTTAGGGTGTGTCCTGTATGAAATGTGCACTCTTAAGCATGCAGTAAGTATTCAGTGTGTGAGCTGTTTACTAATGAATTTATATTTAATGTATCTTATGCAACGTTGCAGTGCTCTCTCTTTTCATATGTTCTGTATGTGTAATGGTTGACAAGCCGAGGCTGCGGTCGAAAAGTCAAAAAAGGACTTAGAGAAAAGACAACTGTGGTGCAGCGAGAGAAAATAAATTTTTCAGTGCGTTCCACAATGAGGGTGTTTTAGTGAAATTCGTGTAGCTATATAGTATTTTGATATCATGATGATATTAACTAAAATAACTGGATTTAAAGAGAAGAAATCTATATTTATGCATTTGGGCTTCAGTCGATCAGACAAGGATTTCCATAAATTTTGGATCGTGTCACAAACAAAAAACAGTTTCTCTGTTATTTTTACATTCACGTGGGTCTGCTGTGGTGAAACTACAAATGGTGCGTCGCTTTAAATGTTGTAAGGAATTGTGGGACAGCATTATCTTCTTTCCTTTTGTAAAAGAAGGTCCAGTGTTTCCTCTGCTAAAGGAGATAAGATAGGAAACACTGAAGCTCCTTTCCTTAATCATTTAGAGAATTCAACCAGCTCTCATCATGGCTGCCACTCAGTTAGGAACCTTCCTAATTAAAAAAGACTTTTCAACCGCAACCTACATCTCAAAGAATGGCTCCTCTTTCTTGATTTTTATTTTCAATCACACTGTTATTGCATATGATCATGTAAGATTTCCCTCAGTGATTTCTCTGCCTTGGTTATAACCGTGTGCTACGTGTCTTTCTTCTCAGTTTGAGGCTGGAAACATGAAGAACCTAGTTCTGAAGATCATTCGCGGCTCATACCCTCCCGTGTCCGTTCACTACTCCCAAGAACTCCGCTCTCTCTTGGCACAGCTGTTCAAACGTAACCCCCGAGAACGGCCCTCAGTCAGCAGCGTCCTGGACAAACCTTTCCTGTCCTGTAGGATCGAGAGGTTCCTCACACCACAGGTACAGGTAGTTGTCTGTGATACAGTCTGAATTTACCTAATCCACACTGTATATGTATAAAAAATAGCTATACGTGTTTTGAATTGATTCCAGCTCATCGCTCAGGAATTCCGCCATACTTTCCTTCACAAGCAGCCTAGAGTGGGTGTGTTGCAGGGGCCACCAGGTAAGCAAACGCTGCTGCTGCTGCTCAGTTTGAAATGTAAGGGAGCCTTTTAAATCATAAAGCCTCCTTACAATTTTTATGTCATTATAGCATCTGTCAAATGATTCTTAAGTGTTTGTGAGAGCGGGGGGTGACTACAAGAAAAAATACGAATTTTGTAAAACTTATTCATGGGAGTTTTAAAGTCAGTGCGTTTATAACTTATTTCTGAGTAAATCAGAATATGTGAGCCAAGTTGAAATCCTCAAGGTTTGACTCAGGTTGCTTTAACATGAGCATAGATTAGCAAGTACAGTGTTACAGAGCTGTAGAGAGATTGTTGGCCTCCACCCACACCTCACTGTCCTGGAAAATAAGGTCTTGTCTTGTGTTATTCTTGGCCTTTTGTGTCAAATAAACAGTTGGCTGCTCACTCCAAATAACTTTATTATAAGATGTACTACATATATAGTATATATTATGAGATTATAAAATGTAATTGGGTTTTGGGAACTAGAGGACGGACCAGCTTTACAATGTACAGTAGTTTGTTTATTTATTTGCAGTATAGCTGCTACTCATTATTGTTAGGGCTGCGCAATAAATCAAAATCACAATGTCACTAAGTGCAATATCCAAATCTCACAAGCTGCAAATTTTGTGATAAAGGTGAAATGTGTCACAACATTGTTGTACATTGTTGGCACCATACGTGTTGTGGTGCTTCAGAGACGCCCTGGTCTACAAATCATATTACTCACTAATCACTATTTGAATTGAAATCACAATATCTGCCAAAATAATCGCAATATGATTATTTTTTTTTTGCAAATCATGCAGCTCTAGCCTGCATAGTCACCAGCAGCATGTGTGTCTGCGTCTACTTGCAGCCAAGCGTCCTGCCCCTGGCTCCATACCCCTTGCTCCAGCCCAGAAGATTACCAAACCAGCCACCAAATACGGAGTGCCTTTAACTGTGAGGAAGGTGTCAGATGCAGCCAAAAAGCCTGCAGAGAGGAAACCAGCCGTAAAACATAAACCGGTTAGTAGGCTGTTGAAGTTGATGTCCAGTGGCTCTGGGTTTGTTTTGTTTTGTTTTTTTTTAGCTTCACTCGTGTTTTCTTTTTGTTCTGGGTGTAGAAGAAAGAGAAAAAATAAAAGCTGTGTTTGATGTTGAGCTCCTAGTCTGGCATGTCGGAGGCCTCTCCCATCTGTGTGTGTCAGTGTCTGTTATTACGTCATAGTGTGTTGGCAACCTCTGAACCCCAGTGTCATATGTTGCTCAGGCCCCTCTCCCAGCAGCCCCCCAGAGAAGAGAGGACGAGGAAGAGAGGAAAAAGCATGAGGTACAGCTGAGAGCCCTGCATAACTTGTATTTACTATTGGATTACCCTCCTTTTTTCTTTCCACATTTACACACACATGAAGGTGTGTGTGTGTGTGTGCTCGTACCAGCATTTTTCATTTTTCTCCCTCTCATTACACTTGATCCCTACGTTCACCCGTTTTCCGCTCCCGGCTCTGTTTGGAGTGTTCTGCCTGATTTTCTCTTTTAACCGACCTTTCCCTCCTCGCCTGCCCAGTGACAGAGCAGTCCTGCTGCCTCTTGCCTCAGAGCGGCTTCCTTTAAGATGCCTGTTTCTCATTGACGTTCTTTTGCCCTCGTGCTACAGGACGGCATCAGAAAGAAGAAGATGGAGCTGATTGAGAGGGAAAGGAAGCAGAGAGAGCAGGTGAGCACACTGTTGAGTCAGCATGTAAAGTTTGTGATTGTTTTCACACTTTCAGTTGTTTCCTTTTATCTGTGTCGTCTCCAGGTGTTCCTGTTGAAAGCAGAGCAGATGAAGAGATATGAAAAGGAAAAGGTGAGTGGTGAACACGTCCCTAGTGGCTATAATTATTTTTCTTCTTTTATGTATCAAGTCTTTACTGTAGTAAGTGGGATCAAGCATTTGAAATGGTCGATGAACTGTATATTACCTGTGATCCTTTATAGATCAATCGTATAAACCACGCCAGGGAACAAGGCTGGAAGCATGTCTTGAGCTCTAGTGGAGGTAGCAGCCCAGAGAGGAAGGTACTGGATTCTCATTTCCTTTTACTCAAGACATCTTTCATATTTGAATACAGCACATACACTGCGCAGCCCTTCTTTTTTCGCTCACAACGACCTTGTGTCCTGCGATCTCAGTGTTTTGTAGGCGGTCAAAAGAGGGCTGCAGGTGTCGGCTCCTCTGTCCCAAGCAGAGGCCCTTATGAGCACTACCACGCTGCTCTGGACCAAATGGCTAAACCACAGCCTAAAGACATCAGCAGGGAGGGGTCCTCCGCAGGACCAGGCAGTCCCATTCGGTAAGTTCAGACGAGTTCGTTTCGAGGTATGCTTAGGTGTGTTAAATATTTATGCCTCCTCGCCGAGGACAGCCGGAGCCGGAGGCGAATTGTTTTTCGAGTTGTCCGTCCGTCCGTCCCGTTCTCGTGAACGCGGTATCTTAGTAACGCATTGGCAGAACTTCTTCAAATTTAGCACAAACGTTCACTAGGATTCAAAGATGAACTGATTAGATTTTGGTGGTCAAAGGTCAAGGTAGTGGTGACATCACAAAACACGGTTTTAGCCTTGTGAACGCGATATGTCAGTAACGCCTTAACGGAGCTTCTTCAAATTTGGCACAAACATTCACTTGGACTCAAGGATGGACTCATTAGATTTTGGTGGTCAAAGGTCAAAGTTCAAGGTCACGGTGATCTCATGTTCTTATGAATGTAGTACATCAGGAACGCCCAGAGGGAATTTCATGACTTCCTCAAAAACATGTTTTTCGGCCATAACTCATGAATTAATTCACTAATTATGACACAATTTAACTCAAATGTCTATGAGGATAAAATGAAGTGATGACATTTTATATCCAAATGGTCAAAGGTCAACTTCATTGTGACATCATAATAATCTGCAAAAAACACCTCTGGCTATTATTAGTCAGTGCTGTAGCTCAGGAAGAGAAGAGGAGATTGTGACCATATTTCCTGTAACTTGGCTGGTTGACGGAGGCGTAAAACCAAAAGGCGGTAATTCTAGTTTTTTTTTTTTTTTAATGGCATTGCCTCTGTGTGTAAGACGTGTACCGGCTGCTGCTGGTCCGGTGCTGCCAAATGGCCCCGCCCAAATCCTAAACCATGATGCAATCAAGAGAGAGCTTCAGAGGCTGCAGCTCGTTTCTATACAGGCTCGCATCAGTAGGTCAGTCGAGCCGCCTCTCTCTAATCAGTAAATCACACTACACGTCTCATGAAAATGAGAAGCATTCAGTTTTGAATTTTGTTTTCAGGCAGCGTGGTCACATGGCCGCTGACCGGGCCGATCAGGTTGAAGAGTTTTTACAGCGTAAGAGAGAAGCCATGCTCAACAAAGTCCGTGCTGAGGGACAACTGGTACGTAGAGGGACTTATACTGGAATTTCAATGGTAACCTCATTGAGTTTTTCCCCCCCTGTTACTGAAATGCCAAACCTTTTCCATCATAGTGATTATGACCCTTCACATACCTGCTGTGGTTTTGTATGGACAGGCTTGAAACCTGACACTGATGGATCTTATATGAGGAATGTTAGAGCTCCATTAAACAGATTCTAATATTAACACTGAATCAAACAACGCAGCACATTAGTGATGGATCAATTAATCTGTCGGCTGATATCTGGCATTTCGAGGTAATTGCTTCTGAGGCTGACAAATAAAAGTGTCAACAGCCATTGAAGTAAAAGTTAGTTTAGTTTTTTTTACCTACAGACATTTTTTAAATTTAAAATAAGAAGCAGAATGCTGATTGCGGTTTTTACTTATGAAAGAGACGATGCACATTTTTTATTTTCAAATATTTTTCACTGTTCAAGTGAATCATACATTGATGTTAAATAAATGGTCATTTAAGTTTTTTGTCTCTTTTGTTATTATTATTAAATTGTTGTAAATTATCAGATGCAAAAAGTAAAAACAACATATCATCAGCATTTTATATCAGCCATCAGCCGCCCTGCTCTCTAGATATCAGCGTAAACATCGGCCATTGAAAAACTCATATTGGTTGACCACTAATGTGCATTATTAAATTGCTGCTAGCACTTCCAAACCCCCTGAGAATCAGCCACTTTCAGCTCATAGTTTTGGTTCACTGGTTACCAGCGGCTCTCACTGCCCACCACATCTAAAGCCATGAAGCCCACTATCAGCTTTAGCTCATACAAGCCTATTGTAAGCTACCTGCCAAGTTCATGATGGTAATGAGCCAAAGTAAAGACATGGCTGGCAAAGAAAGGCTTCAACCTGAGAACTCAGCCTGAGGTGAGCAGGGCCTTTAATACAACTTTAAGACAGCTGATTTTAACATGACATTAATCTGTTTTTAACCAGTAGGGGGCAGAACAACTCCATCAGAACCTGACTGACACACCTCGAGTCGTTAATAGCCACCGTGTTGGCAAACATTTCCTTACTTTAACATCCAGCAGACACAGTTACATTAAAGTTGTGTTTCTGATGAATGTAAGTCCAATATTTACTGGCCTAGTTTGGTCTCAACAAACCCCTGAGAAACTTTTCTGGGTTTTTAACCTGCTGACAGTCGACCTTCTTCACCAGTTACTGTGTGTGTGTGTCTGCTGTTTGGTGCTTGGCAGGTAGAACACAGTCTGTTCATCAGCACGTTTTCTTTAAAACAGCAGCTGCTGGAAACATTGATGAAATAGTGAGACTGAACAAAAACAGCAAATTCGTCAGCTGTAAAAACCAAATCAATGAGCTCAATGGGCTAAAAGGCCTTAGAGATCCCTCTGTGGGTCCAATACTGACTTAATGTGCAGTCGTTTGATACAGTATTAATATGAAAATATTGATTAATGCAGCTTTAATTATCTCCTGGCCCCATCTCATGACTGTTGTGACAGTTAGATGTGCGGCCTGCGTGCTTCTAAAGTGTGGTTAAATTGAACGGTAAACAGGGCACTCGGCAAAACCTGGCTGCAATCTATGGAAGCCGGGCTGGTTCGGTTCAGTGCAGGAGACCCAGAGCCAACAAAGAGGAGGAGGTAGGAGCCCAGGCTCGAACGCCCAGCCTCACACTCCACCTCACTCATGGCACGTCTGACTTGGCACGTCTCATATGTCTGCACAAAACTCCCTTTGACACTCCCATAATTCAACCCAGCAGCTCAAACCCATGCCTACTCCTCCCATATTGTGTGGTGTCCCAGTGTCCAGTGTGAGCTGTTTCACTATTTATGTATCCCTATTATGGCTGTTACTATTCACTACAGTAAATACCATTGGTTTTGTTTGTTTATTGTGTCTTTTGTCCCATTTTGAATAACCTCACCACCTCAGTTTTGCAGTGTGTATTACGGCTTCTTTGCTTTGAATGGATTACATAAATGTCTTTTATTGTTACTGCGCTGTTAACTGCAAAATGTCTTATTTTACTCTGGCTGAATGGATGATGTGCAGACGCTAACTTCACATTGTGTTTTGAAGGAAGCTTTACAACTTTGTTTTGTTTGAATGTGGCTGCAGATATCACGGCTGCGTCCTACAGCGTGTGTGTGTGTCTGTGTGCAGGTCTGTGTAACGTACAGGATGTGACATGTCCGTGTTTGTTCTCAGGAGTACTTGAAGAAACTGAGGCAGATCCGTTTGCTGAACTTCAATGAGCGTCAGCAGATCAAAGCTCGACTCAGAGGAGAGAAGGTACAATCCTGCGCTCTGATATTCTGAGAGCACCTTTCTTCAAAGTGATTCCAGTTTTCTTTGACATTATTTTTTTTTTTTTCTTTTTTGTCGGTGCCGTTTTCGATGTTTGTTTCAGTATGACAGCGACGGTTCAGACAGCCAGGAGTCCACCGAGGAGGCGGAGCTCAGGAGAAAGAAGATAGAGGCTTTAAAAGTGAGTCTACAACCAACATAAAGCATTTACATTTCCCGCCATATTTATACAGCTCTTTTCAAAACATGTTTCAAATGTATTTCACTGGAAAAACCTGGATTGTAAGATTTTCAAATCCTCTGAAAGAGAACGACGTATGATGGACAAGAAATGACATGAGTATAAAAACATAAATAAATACATTTTGGTGATGAAAAATACTATTTTTATTCCTGTATTTTTACATTTATTTATTTATTTATACTTATGTAATTTTTTGTCCTTCATAATGATGATGTCAGTCAGTCTAATTTATTACAGACTCGTTACAGAGAATAAATTATGCACAAAAGCATCACAAGAAAATATGCTTTAAAAAGAATACTAATCAACATCTTACAAAGAGACAACAGAACCAATGTCTCCGCAGCAGGGAGTCATTCAGCTGGCAAATAGATTTATACATGAGAAGAAGTTCTGACTCCTGCAGCCACAAGCATTTCTCTCTCTCGGCCTCCTAAGTGATGTCATCATTCTACAGCGAGCTGTCTGAAGTGTCTGTCAGCTGCTTTTCTGCAGCTTGGCCACACGAGTGCAGTAGAGAGCGGTGTGCCATCTACATCTTCACTCCATCTGTGCCACACTCTAAACTTGCGTAAGAGAATGTAAGCTGTCATTTACCTTATCACAGACACTAAGATTATAATCAGACAATTTAAAGAAATTTTAGACTTTTAGACTCCCTCTTCCCAGGTTTAGCACACTTCATCACCTGTGTCAGCAGCTTCACTGACCAAACACTTGAGAATTGAGAGTGTGACTTGTCTCGTTCAGTATCCGCCGTGTCCACGTCTTCTAACGTCTTCCTCTTTCCCGAAAACGGTACAAGGGAGCGAGCAGAGAATAGTTAATCGATTGCAGGCGGCGTCATTCTGATGGATTAAAAAAACATACCAATGAAATCTCAAAATGAGTCGGGCAGATACGTACACTCGGGCAGCCGTTAATATACCTGGGCAACCCGTCATAGTCTATGTGCGGGAAACCCTGCTGGAGACGTGGACTAAGGACCACAGACTCATCTGCATATGTAATGTGGTTCACTAAAGTATTACCAATCATGCAGCCAGTATTACAGGCTTTCAATAGTCTGGACCGATCATCGGTATAAAGATTCCCCCCTTGTCTGACGCCATTGTTGACTCTGAGTTGTTTCTTTAGTTGTTTTAATGAGGAATTGAAGGTCAGAGATGCAGCCAGATGCTCGACCGAGCAGGCGCTCTGTTGGTGAGCAGTACAATCCTGTAATCAGTGCTCCAACTCCCTGGCAACCAGCATAGAGGAAATAACACTAGGCTGTTATTGTCACACCTCGAAGTTGTGCCTTTACCTCTGACTGCAGGTGAGAGAGGGAATTTTAGAGAGAGACAGGAGTAAAAACGTAAAGTAAAACAGCAGCTGGATGGATGAGATTTTCAACTGGAAGAAACAAGATTTTCATTTCATTTTAACTCTTATTTTCATCAGAATGCATTTGACCATACCTTCATCATTCTTCATGTGTATGTGTGTATGTACCTGCCAGGCCCAGGCTAATGCCCGTGCTGCTGTACTGAAAGAGCAACTAGAGAAGAAGAGGAGAGAGGCGTATGAGAGAGAGAAGAGAGCTTGGGAGGACCATGTAAGCTCTTTCGTCCTTTGTTCCTCCCTCACATTCCTTTGTCGTTACCATTACTCTGCCTTACTGGTACATAATGTAATCCTGGGTATTGTGTATTGTGGAAGATTGCAGCTCGAGGGGTGAAGGTTGGCGTGGCAGCAGGAAACGTAGCGGCGGCGGCAGTAGCAGTATCCACTACCTCTGACAGTCCTCTTCCACAGCCCAGTCCCTGTCAGCCAGAACCAGCTGCCAAAGCTTCAGCCCTGCCGGCATCCAAACCCTCCACCTCCACCCCAGCTATATCCATGACTGCCGCCCTGAAGAACGTTGGAGCAGTCAGTACACATTTACAAAGCCTCTCATGTCCTACATCCGTATTTGTGAGAGTACGTGTGGCTTTGCTATATCCATTCTGCATCTTGTGTTTGGCAGATGACTCCACTAAAAGAAAAGCTGCCTGAGCCAGAGACTGCCACGGTCATACAGGTGAGTGTGGGAGTTGTTGGTGATCACTCATTAAATTAACAGTGAGCTGAACTGAATCTCCCCTGATTCCATGTTTGGAAAGATAATGCCACTTCATGCTTTTCATTGAACAGAGTGAGAAAAAGCAGATTCTGCGCAGACTTAACCAGAACCTAAAAGCCCAGAGTCCAGTGGAGGAGACCGAGGAGCCGCATCCACCTCCCGCAGAACCAAGTCCTGTTCCCCAGCAGAGCCAAGCGGACGCAGAGAACCGCCCCTCATCGAACGGAGACCGAAAGAAGTGGGATGCTGCAGAACTGCCCGTACTTCCTGTGGCTCAGCAAACTCTGGGGGAAACCTGCGCCACGACGAGCAGTGAGCGAGAATACTACGTGCCGATCAATGCAAATACAAACGTATTGCTGCGTCTGTAAAAGGTTTTCCGAAAGCAGTTCTGCTCAGTTTTTTCAATTCTGTCACCAGCCACCTCAGTGTCTCCAGAGGACAGGCCGTCTTCCGGTGGAGACAGGAAGAAGTGGGAAGTGGTGGAGACGGGGGTTCCACTTGTCCTCCCTGTAGCCCAACAAACTCTGGAGGAGACGGGCAACATGACCATTGGTGAGTCGTCTTCTCCCTGAGTGACGTGCACATCTTTTGAAGATTGAAACAGTGGCTGCATAAAAACCAAGAGTCCCTTTATTCCTGTGTCTGTGTGTGCGTGTGTGTGTGTGTGTGTGTGTCATGTCTCAGAGCAAACAGCGGGGGAAGTTATACGGATGGGTGTGCTACAGGAAGAAAATCCCAGGAAGGTGTGGGGAGCGAGTCCAGTCTCTCAGGTGCTGAGGGTCCTTCAGGAGGCGGAGCTTCAGCCTCTCACCCAGCAGCTGGAGAACGTCACCATCTGTGAGAAAGAGTTTCCCAGCCCCGGTCAGTCTTCAGTCCCTCTTCACGTTCTCACCGTCCAAATGAGACTAAGACTGTGTCTCAGCTCATGTACTTCCCTTAGAGATCAAAATCAATGTGGTGAATTGTGTATAAACTCACTGATTGTGATTTATTTGTCAGACTCTAGCACCTCAACCTTGAGTCAAACACACGAGCTTCATTGAGCTGAAAATCTTCACAGTGTTTCAAATAGAAAATGTTGGAGGTTTAACGCTGTGATAAAAACCTTCTCTTCAGCTGCAAATGGCAGAGCAGTGTACTGTATGAAGTATGTATGTATGTAGCTAAACGGTTACAGTGTGTGTACACAGTGTGTGTGTGCAGCAGGATGTTGCCTGGAAAAACAAAACTTTATTTATATAGCACTTTACAAAGTTACAAAGTGCTTTACAGAAAGAACAAGGGGAATTAAAAACAAAAGAAAAACAAACGCATCATAAAACAGAAGAAAGTTACTTAAAAATATAAATTGTCCATATCATGGGAAAATGAACCACAACAATTTATTAAACATTCATAAAAGTTTTCTGATAAAAAGAAGAGTTTTAAGAGACACTAATGATAATCCAAGTAAACACCCACTTCACATGATTTGGAGCGAGGCCATTTAATGCTTTGAATGTGATGAGTAGAATTTTAAAACAGGCAGCCAGTGTGAGTTTGCAAGTCCTGGAGGGAGCTCAGACTGATGCAGCATTAAGTGCATGACAGAAGTCAAAGCATGAGAAATAAACACGTGCATGACTTTATGTGGGTCGTTAGGAGACAGGATTGAGCAGATGTTTGTGATCTTTTTGAGGTGAAAAAAGCGTGACTGGACAACATTTTTCGCTTGTGCATCAAAACAGAGGTCTGCATCAAAAATAACTCCTAGAATAACAACTAGAATTTGTTGGAGTGAGTATTATGACCTCAGACTTAGAAAGTGCACTAAGTGATGCACAGGAAGTGCACTGACTTACCGATGCTTTGCTCTGTGCAGATAAGCCTACCCAGGCGGCTGCAGCTGAGACTGTGAGGACACCTGAGGAGGTGTTGACCTCTAAGCCAACACCATCTGCTGTGCCTCAGCGCCCTGAGGGTCAGGAGGAGAGAGCTGCTCCAGCGGAGGCCTCGCGTCAGGAAGTGTGTGTGGCTGGCACAGCAGAAAGACTCGCACTGCCGCCCGACCTTACTGAGACTCAGGGTTAGTCTGTCACTCAATCTGATATTGATCAGATATTTATTGCTCATTTCAAAGTATATTTTCAGTGCAACACAATATCTATCCGGCCTGATTCCTTTCAGATCCAGCAGACATGGAGTCAATGGTTTTGGAAGAGACGCCTAAACAGGCCTCACCTCGCCCGTCTGCCGTGCAGCAGGCGTGGGAGCAGGAAGCCCAACAACCATTGTGACTGTTCATCTTTATTATTATTATTTATAGTAACAAAATACTTTCACAATATCTTAAATACATTTAAAGACATCAGAGAAAATAAAGTGTCTGTCACTTACAGGCCACCAGAGGGCATTAAGAGACCGACAGGCACCAAGGAGGGAGAGAAGAGTGCAGAGAAACCAACAGACTCATCTGGTGAGACTAATGTTTAGTGACTCAAAGCCACTCTATTTTTCAGCAGGACTATTATCTTAATTAAATCTGCCACTTCCCTCCCTCTTCCCAGGTTTAGCACAGTGCGAGGAGCCTCTGTTTATGAAGTTGTGCTCCCCGGCCCACCGCCGCACCGCTGCCCTCGCAATCCTCTCAGCCCAGTCCTCTGTGGATGAATCATCCTCCTCCCTGGCCTCTCGCTCACGCTCCGTCTCACCTCTGCGCTCCAGACACCACAACTCCCTCCTCATCGGTCTTTCTACAGGCATGTTTGACGCCAACAACCCCAAGGTGATCACCGGCTGAACGTTACACTTTTGACTTGTGTCTGGTAATTACCTTGTTAACGATGAGAGGGGGGGCGTCTGAGGTATAATGTGACAGTGTGGGATCTGTGATCAGGCGAGCGGATGTTGCAGGGTTTGATGAAGTTGAAACTTGTTCTTGTTCCTGGCGTGATGTCGAGGCTTGTGTGGTATTTTTAGTTAAGGTTTCAGTCTTCTTTATTAATGAGGGGGTCTGGAATAGAGCCAGCGCCATTAATCACAGAGCCTCAACCTGCAGTGGGTCTGATAGGACAGAAAGAGCATCTATCAACCTATATCTTTCATAACCTTCATCAGGGACACTGAGCTCAACATTTTTCATATCCACACGGAGAGCTACATGGAATATGAATGCGGCGGGTTTTGTCAGTGTGCTTTCCTCATGCATTACAGTGCTAGATCCCATCACCCTTCACCATCAAAATATATCCTTGTGTTGTGCCTTGTGCCTGTCAGATGCTCCGGACATGCTCTCTGCCAGACCTCAGTCACCTCTTCAGTGCTCAGCAGGAGTCTGCAGCTGCTAGAGCTAACGTTGCCCCTGACAACAACCTGGAAATTGAGGACCTGGATGAGGCGGCTAAAGATGACGACCAGTCTGAGACCGAAGAGTAAGACTGACAGACACAAATGAAATCTAAAGAACAAAGATATTCTCAGGCCCCACGAACCATAAATAGTTACACAGTGGATGTTCTCTGTTGCACAGTACGAGTGATTTGTTGGTAAATGCGTTATAAATCATCACTTCTAAATATACCGCTGCAGTCTTGAAGGCAAGTATTTTAATAGTGATGAGGTCTTGCCTTACTCTCATTCTGTCAGTCATTTTGAAAGGGTGAGAGACGGCTTTACAAAAAGGTGCAGGTTTTTCCAATACAGGGCAGGTAATGGCATTCTGTGTGTGATAAGAATATGCTCTGTTATCCAGTGCATATGAGGATGAAGACCTGCGGGACATCAGGGCGTCCATGGAGAGACTCCTGCACGAAGAGGGTGAATTAATGAGGAGCTCTCCGGAGGTCGGCGCGGGAGACTTCAATGGAAACCCTCCAGAGAGCGAAGACCAAGAGTTTTTCAACAGGATCGCGGCCGAGATCGATCAGGACAACAATCAGATGGCTGTCGACGATGATGACGAGGACGAGGACGATGAGGAGGACGAAGAGGAGGACGAGGAGGAAGAAGGCGAGGACGATGAGGACGAGGACGAGGAATGCTCCAATGGGAGTCCCGCTGATGAGGAGGCAGGGGAGTTGCTAAGCAATGGCGTGGGAGAGAACCACAGTGATAACAGCCAGCTCAATGAAGAGTGGCATTCAGGTAGGAGAGCTGTGAAAATATAAGACTTAACATTTCCTTTTTTTAATTATAATTATTGAAATGCAACTATTATTCATTATTTTATACAAGAACAAACAGCAGTACATCTCAGTGTTTCCTCCTGAACACTGTTGTGCAGAAAGCTTTCAGACTACCTCAGCTTGTAAGAATTAATATTGAATGTCAGATGATTCATGCATTTAATAAAGATGGGACATTTAAGCATCTCAGTATTATGAGAACTGATGAATCCCTGCTGCGATACAGACGGCAGCGGAGAGGACCAGGGCGGAGAGGCTGAGCATCACGACAGCATCTTCAGTCGGCTGGAAGAGCTTCGCTTCAACCTGGAGCAGCAGATGGGCTTTGAGAAGTTCATTGAAGCCTACAATAAGATAAAGGTATAAAATATTTATGATTTCTTTTCTAAATCTGGAGGTCGTCCGTGCAAACTCACGGTTCAGTTTTGGAACAGAAGACTGAACAGATGTCTTTGCTGCTCTAGGCGATACATGAGGATGAAGATGAGAATATTGACCTGGGCTCCAGTCTGGTGTTCAGCATTCTGGGGACTGAGCACCAGCATCTGTATCCCAACATCCTTCATCTAGTGATGGCAGATGGCGCATACCAAGAAGGTTAGCAGCAGTAGTGGATTGCATATACTTTTATTTCTTTTCATCCCCGTTTTCCACAACACTCCTCCTGAGTTTCTAGGTCACTCGTGTAAACCACTAAAATACACATTCATCTCGTTTTAATCGTTCTGGTCAGCAGTTGTCAACAGCTGTGCTGAATTGTCCTCGTGGTTTTCCCAAAGAACGCAGCTGTGTCAGAGTACAGTGAGCGTTTAATCGAATCTGTAAAATCCTGTCCTCTTTTCTCACGTCATGAAGGCACTAAATAGACCTGAAACACACCCTTAACAGTCTTTCTCTGTCTTGCTCTGTGCCAACAAGACTTAAGGTTTTGAGTTTGACAAGTTTCCCTCCGGACGGGAGCATCTTCAGACACGTTTTCTCACTGAAAATCTCTTATTTGACAGCTCTTTTGTTTTTCTATTTTTACTGTCTTCAGTAGAAGAAGTGAATATCAGATGCAAATGTCAAATATCCCCCTTGAGGATCCATAGAGCAATAACACTGGGTATATTTTGAAATAAAACTGAGGCAGCTATCAGAGAATAAAGCGTGTGATGTAGTAATTTTGTAAAGTCTGTTAGTTACAGTCACAATTATGCATCACACCTACGTTTCACACACACAGCTCTAGGTTTCAGGTCAATTCTGATGCCTGTCGCTGCCATTTAAATGTCTGTTTGCATCATTGATTTGCCAAACTTTCAGCTGAGCTCATCTAAACCGATGAACTCTGCCTGTCTAATGAATTGTCTGTCTCAACATGATCCTCTTTCTCCTTCCCCTTCCAGATAATGATGAATAATGGTTTCTGCAATCGAGCTGCTGGCAGCTATGACAATCTGCTAGCTATCTGATGTCTTCCCATGACGCGCATCACTGGCAGAAGGATCTATGCATGAGGTGTCGCAGCCATGCATCTAACAGTGTTTCAGGCACACTTGCATGATGAATAACTTAGTGCACTCAAGGCTGTATTTCATACTTTTGACTATCAGCACCTGGCACTATTTTCTAACCGGTGTCCGTTCAAAAAGTGCATTATCAAACACATGTTCTTCTTCACTTACCAAAGTTAACTGTCAAATGTTCAATGTCTGTAAATGGATGACACACGTGTATTGTCGCACTGATTAATTGTATGAACTATTTTGTTTCACTTCGTTTGTTGGTTCAGTTAGACTCCGCAGTGGCATTTTATTTTGGCGGGCAAAGATCTGGTCCTCTCAGGTGCTCTCACATCCTCACCCACAGCGTCGCAACACAAACCAGGTCACCCTCAAAACAGATGTACCGTGATTTATTCAGAACCAGAGGAACCTCCTTTTCTTAAAACTCTTTTCACCAAACAACAAGTTAAATATTATCTAATACATTTTCCACGTTTCTTACTGTTTTATTTAACCCAGATTAATTCAAAGATTATTGTGAGACTGTTGTATGTTGCACTGTAGCGAGGCGGTGGCACTGAAGTGCTGGGTGTGATATCGTGAGACAGGTCGGATTGATGTTCAGTACAGAGTTGTACTGATGTAAGCAATGGTACAGATATTAACAATAATTCATATATAATGATAAATTAAGTATTGTAAATCTTTATATGAAGTAATAAAAACTTTTTTGAGAACACGAGCACTGACATTTTTCATTTCTTTCTGCCTATAAATTAATATCAATGTTTGTAAAGATGATCTTATTAAAGCTCTTCAATTTAAAATACGATTCTAATGGTTTTAGAAGAGAATCGTGCTTCTTTTCACGGGTCGTCAGACTGTGGTGCCACAGGTAAGCACACAAGACTATTTTCATCCGCAGCCCTTCAACAGGCCACTCGCCCTTCTGTCAGCAAGCAAGATTTATTTGTAGATGCAGCCCCTGTGGAATAATATAACACGAGCCTCCAGTGTTCTCACACCACACCACGTCTGATTTAGTGCGACAGGAGAAGTGGGTGTTTCCTCTGCGTTGGAGCATGACCAAGTAATTGGCTGTAGTATCCTTCCAATAAGAATAAACAAACCAATCTGATAATGGAGCTTTGCAGCCTTTGATGACATTAACACTGTAGTACTTTAAAGGGTTGTAACTGGAGCTCAGTCCGGATCTGCCTTTACACAATTAAAATTAATTTGATCAAGATTTTGGTTTTATTTTGTTTTGTTTTTGTTAAACAGTCACATATATCAAATGTCGGGTTGTCAGCCCTTCCATTAGAAAGCAATGATTAGAAACAGTGGAAATCATTTTAACTTGAAGATAGGAATGTTTGACTTTATAATGAGGAGCAGAGGATGTGGGAGCCAAGAAGTTAGACTGGAAACAAGGCCAACAATCTGCAGGTCTCCATGAGTTGTTATGTTCCCAACAGCCAATTTAGATCCTGGCGCTGTGGTAATGGATGACACCGGCTGATTTCAGACACCGAGCCTGGCATAAAACTGCCATTATTTAGATGAATGTGAATGCATTTCCCCCATCTCTGCTAAAGTCATTCCATAATTCAATTCAAATGTAAAAGCCCAGCATGCATTTCAAGTTGAGGTTGCACATTATGTGCCAAATTGAATATGCAAATGCAAAGTCAGTTTCACACGTCAATTTTCCTTTTGCATGTCGGGGTTTTGCATCAGATTACACCGCAAATACATGATAGATACGATTTATAATGATTTGATATTATTCATAACTTATTACTATATATTAAATTATAACTATATAGATTTATAATAACATTTCTATTCAAATTAGAAATTAATTTGAATTTTGATGCCTTTGTGAACAGTTCTGCCTTCCATACCGTCCACTTTAACTTTATTCAGGGTGTAAGTCAAAGGCTTCAGGCTGTTGTATGCTGTGCACAACATCGCACTTCATCCAGTATTTATGCTGCACGGTGGCGCTGTGTTTGTTTGTTGTTCCTTTTTGTGTTTAGTGATTCTGTTATATGTGCTATTGTGTGACTTGTATTATGCATGGGTGGGCGTTTTATCTCAGTGGTGATTTGCATTCTGCTTGTTGAGAGGCGTATACAGTAGGCTGCATGAAGGCAGGCAACTCTCTGAACTGTCAGTACAAACACCACGATAAGAGCATGAGAGGTTGTGACAAGATGCTTGTGGCTCTCTTTGAAGTGTTTGATAAGGAAAGCACATTATTGGCTCAGTCTGGTGTCACGGTATATAGCACCTAAGCTGATTTTGTTAATATCTGTTTCGTATTAAACTGTCTGTCTGAGAGATTTGTTTTTGAATTAATAAAATATATCTACTTGGTTTTTGGGCCTATATTGGTTTAGTAGTTAAACACAAGAGAAAGAGGTTATCTTAATGTCATCTTTCTAAACAATTTGTTTATTGTTCATAAATTGTGAATATGATAACATGTTAAATATCGTTAAATGTTAAATATGATAACATAGTAAAATTAGATTGAACAAAAAGACAGATCAGAATATGCTTCAGTCTAATACGCTCCCACGCAGTCTCTCTGTTTGACATTATACTTGGGATGAAATTAAATCAATTCTTGTTTTGAATTTTCCATAAGGCCTGTGTTTGGCTTGATCCCAGCTCTCAAAGGGGGAAATCACCCCACAGAGAAATATACGCACTCAGCCGTTATCAGGCAGCGTTCATTGACATTCAGCTATGGTCTCTAATCTAATTTAAAGGCTGGTTGCCTCAGGCTGAGTTTGTAAGTTTGAAAGCCTTATCAAAGTAATACAAATGGAGATTACTGGATGCGAGTGTCCTGATCTTAATAGCATATTAAGCCTGTGAGATTTGGTTTGGTTTCAAATTAAAACATCATTGTTTTAAAGAGCGAGTTATGTAGCATTGTCAACTTGAGAGCAGCGCTTTAAATGAGAGCACTTTGCTTTTTGATAAATGGTCTTTCATTTTGGTATTTGCTGCATTTCAATACTTCATCTTGAACGTCTGTTTATAGTGATGTGCTGTACAAGAGAGGACAATATTTCTGTCAAGGTTCATCCCTTCATGGAAATAGGGACATATGTCTTGTCATGTCCTCTCCTGCTTCCCCATTTATAGGCAGCAACACAGCTGTCACCTACATCATATGAGGGTTTGTGTCTTTCTTTGTGTGTGTGTGTGTGTGTGTGTGTGTGTGTGTGTGTGTGTGTGTGTGTGTGTGTGTGTGTGTGTGTGTGTGTGTGTGTGTGTGTATGCATGCTGATCTTGTTTTTGCCCTCAGGTGCAGTCATTATGAAAAAAGTGTGGCCTTTCATAGTCTACAATCGTTCCCGTTGCTTTTCTGAATAACATTAAACAGTGTGGGCTGAAGCCTTTTCAGAGAACAGCACTGAGTATGTGCAGGGTTGGAGTGTGTGGTAATACATAGGGGTCAAGCAGAAAAAAAAGAGGGCAGGGGCCATTGTCTGAGTGGAGGTGGAGGGGCGGAGAGCTGCCTCTTCACAGTGAGGAAATATGACCCGAGGGCTCCTGCCAGCTCCTGTGAGATCACATGTGACAGAAGAGAGCCACCTCCACATAAATCTCCTTCTTTATTGCTCCTTTCTTTTCCTCTCCTTCATCTCTCCCTCTTGCTCAATATGCAGAGTCCTCTGAATGAGATAAAGATAAATCACATATTTATTTTCAGGCAGCGTGTCACTTGCTCCTCATTCCTCTCCCTCAAGCCCTTTTGTGCTTGTGCCTTTGCTGTGAAGGTTATGAGGAGTCAAAGGTCTCCTCCAAATGTATTTTGTGTAATAAAAGCAGCACCTTTGGAAAAGTGCTCCCCCTCTCCCTGTGGGCTTGTTGTCTATTTTTATATCAGCTGAGGACAGGCCCATCAGTTTGCTTTTGCCTCAAGAATAGATGCGGGATGTTGTAGTCCACAGAAGGGTACTTGTACTAGAATATTATTCTATTTGCTGTGTAAAGATCGCATTAAACAGACAAGGCCAATTGCACTTTTATTTAAAAGCTGCAACAATAACATGAAATTTCATCGAGCTGGACAGACGCTACCATAGCTTCAACATCCTGTACGTGTGACTTGGTGTCAGTTTGTTTTGCCCTGGGAATGAAATAAGTAGCTAAATAATATCGCTGGAGAAGAACCGGGAGGTGAGAGGTTTGGAAAATTTGCTTGTTTCACGAGAAAATAATGAAAAATGTGACCACCAGATGTCCCTATTCACTCTCTGGTGCTCATCTAGCTTCAGTAGTATAAGTCTATCTTAGAATAAGACAACTAAGAATAAGAATAAGGTAACTGTTATGTCCACACAACAGAGTTGCTGTCTGTCTGAACATTACATGTATATTTATATTTACATTTATTCATTTGGCAGATGCTTTTATTCAAAGCTAAGGGACAAGAAAGTCAGGTACAACACTACAGCTTCAGTGCAGTAGGAAACCTTGGTGTCAGAGCGAAGTACCACAGTGAATTCTGCCCAAAATGCAACAGAAAGAAAGAAAAAAAAAAAACAACATATCTTGTTGATCATTTGAGGAGCTGTGTCATTTAACCAGAGTACCAGATGTGCTGGCTTTCAGTTCACTGCAGAGCATGTCCGCAGGGGTAGCCAAATAATGAAATGAAAAACAAGCTATTTTCCACTCTGTCTGGGAAAAGATGCTGCCTTGGACACATCATTCATTACATATCATTAGATGATTCAGTTCACGCCCTTTAGACGCCGCCTTCCGGTGCGCCTCGGAAATTCCAGTGTTCGACTGTGGTAGTCCTCTGTACTCAGTACGATTTGGCTCCCGGGTGTTTTTGGTTGGAAATAGGATATAAATTACCACGCTGACATAAAGTAATCGTTTGTAGAGGCTGTTGCCTTCCATTACAAACACACATTTGTAAGTAAAGCGACTTTCCAAACGTTACCGCTCAGGTAATTTGTCGTCTCGTTCATGTGTTCGTAGCCCCCTGTAATTTACCACTTTCCCGGCCGCGCTGGAAGCCCGCACCCCCCCCTCTCCCCTCCCCTCTCCTCTCCCTCCCCCCTCCCCCTCTCCGGTTGTTTCCAGCAACACAGTCCAGCAGAACAGAAGTAGCGTACTAGCATGGCGCTCGGAGCGGTTGGAGTTCCGTTGTCTCGCCCGTGTCCTTTTTTTTTTTTCACGTTAGCTTTTACTGAAGTAATCTGACAGAGGTGTGTTCACACTCTACGTTGAACGCCTTTAAAGGGAAAAAAACAACAGTATTTTTCTCTTGAATACTCCAGATAAGTGGCTTGTAGATTCCAGGTAGCTTGCTAACTAGTAACGTTAGCAAGGAGGCAAAAAAAAAAAGAAAAAAAAAAATTGGGAGATACGAGGCAACAAGAGGAGGAGTCCTGTTTTGGAAGAGGTAAGATGAATTGTATTTAGTGGGCGAATTACTTTCAAGTGTTTTTAGATAAATTGCTTTCTGTCCGAGAAGTTGTAAAGACACATTTTCAAGTACGTATGCTGTAAAAACTTCGAGTCGTCAGTTACTTATCGGTTTACAACATTAAAGTAGCCCCCCCCCCTCTCACCCCTCGTTAGCGATCGACCGTTGCTAGCAAACTTAATTTAAAATGTATATTTGTAGTTTTGATTTCTCGAGTTAAACACCACTGCGCAGAGTAGTAATGTCGTAAAAAAAAAAAGTCACTAAAGTACACGTTTTTCGTGCTGTTAACTGTTACGTAATATTGACATTTTTTCCCTGGAGTAACGTTTCACTACTGCCGTACAGGCTGGACGCTTTTGGATTTTTTTTTATCATTTAAATGTCTTCTTATGATGTCAGCATGTGTCAGATGGGTTACCCCAGGCTGACTTTGTCATAGTACGTTTTTATTTTTCACCAGGCAAAGTGTGTTGACTGCCTTCTTTGTAAATTCCTCTCTTATGTTTTTGCTCTTGAAAGACAAATCACAGTCTTTCACTCATGTACTGTTGCTGCAGGTTTCTCTTTCTGTCGCGCTCATGTTGTTTTAACTGTCAGATCACAGTTACCAGGTGTAGTCATCCGCTTTGGAGTAAATTAGATTAACTTGGCCTCCAGTCACTTACACGGTGATCTAATGCCAAACTATAGGGCAGGAGTTTTGTGTTTGTTCAAATGCTGTCAGATCATCACTGAGCTACGGGATTAAATGTGACTGATGGCGTCAGTTTTTCTGTGCGAGGACTGAAATGTGCTGTTTGTTATGCTCAGCAAATAATGCAACACTGCTTAGTTTCAGCCATATGTGGTGTCTGTTGTGTGCACACAATGACCTGTTTCTTGTCTGTACAGTTGATTAATCTGCTTGTCTTGACCCTCTTTTTGTAGCTGATGCAGATGCCATGGCCATAGCCGAGGTATGGGAGTGACGTGACAGTACTGGTCCTGCTTCCAAACAAAACTCTTATCAGCATCATGTTTTTCTGCTGAAGTCGAGGCAGAACACGCAGAGAATGGACGAGTCAGTATTGTTGGATTTGCTTGAGTGCCCTGTTTGTCTGGAGCGGCTGGATGCCTCGGCAAAGGTTCTTCCCTGTCAGCACACCTTCTGCCGACGATGCCTCCAGGGCATCCTAGGCTCTCGCGGCGAGCTGCGTTGCCCAGAGTGCCGGACATTGGTGGAATGTGCTGTGGATGAACTTCCCAGCAACATCCTCCTTGTGCGCCTGTTGGACGGCATCAAGCAGAGGCCTCGGAGGGCTGGTCCTGGGGCTGGAGTCTGCACAAATGGTACGCCTGGAGCCGTGGCCAGAGCACATGGCAGTGGAACCAGGGACCAGGGCACCCCAGGAGCACAACCCCAGCGAGCTCAGGCTAAGAGCACCCTTGTCCGGGTTAGTATACTCAGTAACTAAACATGGATCAGTGAGCATGAATCTGTGTTTCCCATTGTTAGGGTCAAGCTGAAACAAAACAGAGAAAATCTGTGTGGATTAAAAGCAGCATGTTGCATTACTGGCTTTCTAATCTTTGCTGCGGATTAACTGTTGATTAACATGGTGATCCAAAAGCCAGCCAGTTGACCAGCAGCCCAACAATGCTGATGGCAGTGATTGAGAGCAGTTTATAGTTGAGCCAACAAATGAGTCTGCTCTCTGCGCCGACTGCAGCCGGGCTTTTTCCCGTAAGAAGGGCGTGCAGTTCTTTCATAGCTGCTGACAATGCCATATGCCAAAGTCTCTCCTACACTTGAGATCCTGCTGTTGTGTTGCTCGTGAATGTACATGAGAAACGCAGGGTGGGGTTGTTTTATCTGCATTACTGAGAGCAGTTGAACAGTCAGAGAAGCAGGGGGAAACTGTAAAATGCTAGGAGCCTGTTTTTCAGTAGTGTCTTTTAAACACAGGGAAATAGGAAAATAACACCTTAGATTCCTTTTTGTTGTAAGCTTCCATGAGTACAAGGAACCATGCTGACCTTAAAGCATCAGTATTTTTGTCCTTCACAGATGAAAGCAGGTGCTGAAGACAACAGCTTTGATGGCATGTCTTGCATTAGTGTTTAGATGTTATTTTAATGTCGTTTACTGAACCATTAACAACAAAATGATCTTTTTCTATATTATTTACACTCCTTTATGGGAAAACCAATACACATTATATTCTTGCTTTTATGTATTATTTATAAAACTAGAAGTTTTATATATATGTGTGTGTGTGTGTGAGAATGTGCTACTTTCCTCTGTCCAGACTATTTGGTATAGGAATATAGCACGGTTCACACCAGAGAAAAATGTTAACATTAGAAAGTCAGTAATATTGTTTTTTCCACCTGAATTGTGAAGATTCTTAACATTTCCTGCTGCAAATTTACTCAAATCACACTTAAGATAGTATTTGTGATGGTATTGCTTGATCAGTATTTCACATTTAAAAACCCGACTCCAATAAAATGAAGAAGACCCACGGGCCCCTGTTGGAGCAGCTCTGGTCTCCGTGTAGAGCGGATAGGGTGGATGAACAGGTCAAGGTCCTGTGTAGAATCACTGGAATGTCAGAGCGCTGATAATGTATCTACCGAGCCATGCAGGTACGAAGATCAGAGACCTCGCTCTAAATCGCTACCGGGGGACCCGCCTCATTTGCCATTCTATGACTTCAGAGGACTCGTGCTCATTTCAAAGCCATTTTGTGCATTGCGGAATTTCCCCTTGATTCTGAAAAGCCTGCTTGTTGGTGATATATAAAAAAAAAAAGGTGGACACTTGAAACTACCATATTATTTCACCCCTCCCCTGTTTTTAAGATTGACAGTTGATTACAATCCCTCAGTAGAGGCATGGAGGGTACACTGCTCCGACATGCACACGCCATATCAAAGTGTTGTGTGACAGTATGTGTAACTGTGAGAAAGACGTTTCCTATTTTCCTCGCATTTCCAACAATTTTGTAGGATGTCATGTTTCTGACTAATGGCGTCTCTCAAGTCTGTTCTGCCGTCTTAAGGCGTTCTGCTGATGACAGAGAACAAGAAAAGACGTGGTTGTGCAGGTGTAAGATTTTCAGAACATAAAAGGCAGAGATCAAAGCTCTTGCTGACTGCCCAGCCTGGTCTCTGGCCAGTGCTCCATGGGGACTGAGCGCTTCAATGCCCCTGGGTGACACCCTCATTCCCACTTCTGTATTGTGACTTGTCTGTCCCCTGATTTTTTTTTTTTTTTTTGGGGGGGGGGGGTATCAAGGCTTGAAGCAGCTCTTCTGGTGCCGTTCTTATATGGCTGGGAGGGGAGAGCAGTGGGGTCTTGCCTGACAGATGCACAACAGGGTTTTGTTTCGGGTCCCCTCTGATCTTACGGACTGACCGACACTTGTAGAGTGGCCAAAAGAGATTGTGTGTGTGTATGGAAGACTACCAGTAACAGAAGCTGATGAGTGTTAAGTGAAGGCGTCAGGACCAAAAGGGTCAAATGTTTAGTGAGTAACCTCGTACAGTCAGCTTTCTGCCCCCCCCCCCCCTTAAATCTCTAGGGTGGCAGCAGTTGTTTGACACTCTGTCCTGGCATTTCTTTGATGAGGGGAATGAAAGGGCTCGTCTTGAGTGTAGCGCTGTGGTTGTCTGGTCAGGTTGATGACTCACCTCAGTGGTGCTCTGTTACATGGATGTTTTGTCTTCCCCTCGCCCTTGTTGACTCATATAACACAGTATTTTGTTCACACAGATTGAAAACAGATAGCTCTGTGGTATTTTTGTGTGAGAGCGAGCAGAGCCATCGGAGCTGTCTGGAAGTCAAAGGTCAGGGTTCAGGAGTCATGGCAGTCAGGGGTCGGAACCGACGAGTGAGAGGAAAGAAGAATTAGAGAGAGATTTCTGAGGATGTCTTTAGTTATCATCATGGAGCCCTGGAGAGTTGAGCCTCTTCTCCCACAGACTTAAAAATAGACCTTTTATGATAGTTTCTTAAAAGTTGTCATAAAAGCTTTAGTTTTCATTTGTAATGGTGGTTGTATATTAGCCACAGTTTAGAGCTCTAATATGTGGAATAATGTTTGTGTGATAATGTTTTGTTTTTTTTGTGAATATATTTTATTGGCATTTTGGGAGTCATCACAATACATTTAAAGGAAAAAACAGTGACATGAAATGCTCCTATTATATGTGTGATAATGTTTTAATCAACAACAACAACCTCACTTAACCACCTACTGGATGAGAGCGTGTAATCTTGTGTATGTGTGTCTGTCTTTGTGTGTTTAGTTGATGGGAAATGACACACTATTCTTCCCTAAGCTCTTGGGAATGTAATTAGGTCATTGTCTTATCTTTGGTAATGAGCACTTTATACAAGGAAACTTTTTTTTTTCCCTTTTTATAGGTCTCTCATGTTTCACAGCCTCTTCCTCCTGCCATTATTTCTCATTATCTTCAAATCCACTGAATTGATTTTAAGCAAACAGAAAGAAGAAAACAGCTTTTTAATCTGGTATTATTCTGATTGAAGGAAGTTGTCTCCTGTCTTGTTACCAACAAGACATTGCAAAGTTTTTTGTTCCTCGGTTATTTTTAAGTTTAAGTTTGCGTGTTTTTGTCCTGTCATTTTTGTAGTTGATTTATTTCTTCAGAGAGAGGGAAAAAAGAATGCTGTTTATGGGTTCCTTATGTAGAAGTAGTTCATTAAAATTCCTCTGCACCTCCCTCGTTTGAGGTCGATGAGTCACACTGGCCCTCTTTGATGACATCATACTGTTGTTGAAGCCTTTCCTCTTCGCCGGCTGGCTGACCTCTGCCTGTGCGACAGAACCCCATCATTACACCCTCACTCTGCCCACATACTGGCAAACTCTTACTTACTGCTTTCCACTGGGAATTTTTCAAGAGGGCCTTGGTCTACTCATTCCTGTTGCTCTCTCAACATGCTCACACTTTTCTCTTGCCTCCTCTGTATTTCCCACGGAGGTCCACAAGTAGTCGTGACCTTATGGACAGTGTGTGTCAGGGATTTTGGAGCCACCTGTAATTTTCTCTTATGAGTCACTGACACAAGCTGTATTTTTATTTTTTTTCACCATATTTCTGCCGTGTACCTCCTCCCTCTTTGCTGCCTAAATCCAGACTGGAGCCTGTTAAAGGTCTAATGAGATTAGAGTTTATTAGACAGTGAGTCGGCGCTGCTCCCCATTCTCCTCCCACTGCTGACTGCTGACTCTCATTCTGAGGAAACAAAACACTTGTTATTTCATGCAGCAACCTGTGTCTACATCTCCGGATGCGACTATATATTTTTACATACTTATCTGATATTCCTTAAATCAGTTTGTTTCTTGTTGACAAAGGCAGTTTTTCAGTGCCAGATTGTAAATTATATTTTTAAACATATGTAAATGGAACGTAAAAATGTGGAACCCAGAATCCATAAGTCAGTTTCTTATACCGCCAATCCTGTACAAGCTCAAGTGGAGTGGAGGCTATCCCATCATGCATTGGGCAAGAGGAAGGGTACCTGGACAGGATTGTGGTCTGTTGCCTTGCTAACATACATTGACAAACACATTCATCATCACTTTCACACCCGTTTGTAATCCTCACATTCCCCACCGTTCTTACCATGTTTTGGAAAACATACACAGTGTGTGTGAGCAAGTGGTCTGTTATGCAGTGGGATGTTATTGTCTTCCACGTATGGGTTTACATAATCCTGAAAGAGAACTTCAAAAGACCTAATCATGTGATTAAGGTGCAGCCACGGCCTCCTTATTGTAGGGTTACGCTGCTCCCCAGACGAAGGGTGTGTGCCTGTCTTTGTCTTTTTTTGGGCTTTCAAGGCTTTTTCCACACACATAGAGGGAAGAGGCTGTTCAGTCTCCCTTTAACCCTCTGTTAACTCCAAACAGAGCAGGATGTTTTGTGTTTGTGTGTGTCACTGTTTCTCGTCTAAACACTGGGCTTGTCTCGTCTCGTCCAACTTGCCAGCTCACGTTCACGCTCTCTCCACTAAACCTGCTTTAAGTATCACCACGTACATCTATGTTGACTTTCTGTCTGTTCTTTGCTGTTCAGACATTCAGTGTTGATCACAGACTCACAGGTAAATGTGTGGATTTTAAAGGACAGCAGAGGTCTGTGTCTGTTATATGTATGTATGTATAAATACTAACATAAATAAATAAATAAATAAATAAGGTCTGTACCTCTGTTGATAATCATGCATGCAGGCAGACTCAGCTGTAGCAGTTGCATAGACATAGTTTTATATTCATGCAGAGTATTGGCCATCTGGCCATTATTTTCTGCATGGTTTGGACTATATGTGAAATGGTGATTACATTTAATTTCATTGTATAGGTTTTTTTAAATTTAGTTTTAGTTTATTTATTTATTCAAAAGAGACAATGCAATT